ATATATATATATATATATATATATATATATATATTACCGCCTCAGGTATAACAGTGCTGACAGTCACTCTAATCTTGGCCAAGCCATCAATGCTATTGATGATATCAACAAAAGTTTCACATGAATCTCTGGTTTATGATGATCTGATGGGCTATCAAAGGGTTTTTAACAACCATATGAGCAGTGTGTTACGCATAAACAGCAGCTATTGATAAAAATACCGGAAAGACCTATTTGGACCACGTGCAACTTCAGCTTCCAGGACGTTATTTGGGCAAATCTAGTAGTGAAAACAGGGCTGACTGTTGGCTCAGAAAATTCCTGTGAAGTTCCAAGTTGAGTCTATAATTTCCTAGGCTGAGGGAATTGTAGAAAAGTTTAATTATTCTCGCTTCCGCATGTAACCATCGCCAAACGTACCGAAGACCTACTTAGCTGAGAAGGCATCAGTATACTGAATAGCTCCCTCCAAGTGTCAACAGTACTTTCAGTTCTCCTACAGTTTGCAATCAAAATTTAAGTTTCATGGTGTTCAGGACTAAAAAACGATTCTGTGCAAAACATAAAATTACCCGGACTGTATCTGAGGGTGCGGTGTTTAGATCCCCGTTGCCGGATCCTCCACCAGATGTAGGTGGTGGCTGCTGTGACGAACCGAGATTCCCGTTTAACGGACCAGTTGAGAACGACCCAGATGAAGACGGTGCGGGAAAGTTCTGATTGGAATTGGAGCCACCGCTGGAGTTGTTGTTTCCGCCACCGCCGCGGTCCGATGGCACAGCTCGGCGACGACGAGCGTTGTGTTTTTTCAACAGCTGCTTATATCGCTCGGTCTTCTTCGATAAGTAATAATAATGAATGCACTCAGCTACAGTTTTCCCCTCCAAGTAGCTGGCAATGCTAGGGAAGTTTTTGGGAGTAGCCAAAAAGCGTTCTCGGAAGATCTGCTTCTCATCATCGGTCCATTTCGATAAATCATGCTCCTCTTGCAACTGAGCTCGACAGTCGGTGACCAGGCCAGATTGATAAATGAATCGATAGCGGCGTTGCCATGGGGCCAGTGGCATGGGTGGGTCAATAGCATATTCCTGAAAGTGGAAGGATGGGAATGTCAGTCGTTACTCAGACAAGGAAAGGAAAAGTCACGAGATGCTTGTCAAATATTCGGCTGTCTAGCCATGGTCAACGCAGGAAATTATATGTCTGAAAATTTAAAATAAAACAGAACACTCATTGAAAAGTTTGATTCAACTTCAGTATATGCGGAAAAACGAGTGGATTTCCTTAGAACGAAGCAGTGATATGATGTTTTCGCGGGATCTAATCAATATTCCTGATCACTTACCTTCATCTTATTCATCTCCTCCACCGGATCGTAAACAGGTGTTTGAGTTCCATCAACAAGCGTGCCATTTGAGGATTGACAGGACGATTCAACTAAGGGTGAAGAGAGAGCAGGAACAGAAGCCCTTTCAAACCAGAGACACGAAAGAGTAAGTCCCTACCATCGGAAATCGTCATTCCGGATAGAGTCGTGAAAACGCGTAGACGAATAATAAGTTGCAATTACGGAGAACAAAACTGATACTTTGAGAATTTTTCCAATTATAGTCGTTAAGAAAGCGACAGGTCCCCAGATATGGTCGAAGGCACATAAGATGACGTCTAGAAATATCACAGAAGACCTGCAGGAAGCAGTTGGCGGGAAAGAGATCACTAGGACATTTCCACAGCGAATCAATGAGGCCAGATAGGTGGGACTAGACTATAAATGACAATGCTCAAACACGACTCCGGCTGAAACAGTTGAGTCACTACGTGCGTCAAACATAATGTGAAACGGAAAAACGTAACTTTCAGCCAGTACACTACTCATGAGACTACTGAAAATATCCTTTTGCCTTTCCTGAGGCCCACCGGGTGGACATAGTCCCTGAGTTTCCATCAACAAAAATTGCACGCAATTGATGAAATCCACTCATTCCCAAATTCAGTCAGTATAAAGAAGCTATGCTTCAATATCTTGAATATCGTACAAACTGAAACACGAGGCGGACTTTGTGCAGCATATTAGGCTGAAGGATAATATAAGCAAGAGGTTCAGCTGAGGTTCATTTGGGTTTCCCATTGGTAAAAGAGTGTACTTCATCCAAGTGCCACCATGTTCATGAGCTTCTTGCAGGATCAACGAACACGAGCACCACTGAGAAAAGTTGGCCGAAAAACTAATGCCTAGCACTGACATTGCTTAATTGTGAGAAGCATGAAAACACATGTGGGAAAGGGCGAGAGACATGAGCGGAGGAATGTACGGAAAACAAAGAAGTGGAGAGAAGTTAAGAGAAAGCGTGACATCCCACTACCACTACTGCTAATACCACAACGGTTGTAATGGGGTCGACCTTCCTGTTGGTTCTAGTGTTTAGAAGAACGAACAACCCGAGAATAGATTGTGTCGATGTATCACCAAGTAAATGTGGTCCCATTTGGGCAACAAACAGCATTCCTCCAAAATGAGTCCTTCAAGAAGATGACCTTTTCCGACAAATCGTAGTACATATTTGAGATATAACAGTGTGGCATAGCAAAAGCGGTCAACAGAATTCCAGTGCTAAATCGAGCCGAAACATCTGGGTATAGTTTGATGATGAACTTCAGTGAGAGATCGACAGTAATGGATGTGATGTATGGAATATCGATAATGTCACGGCCTTGGATTAAATCAGGTATATATTCGCGATAATCGTTAGCGCACCACCGAGGTGTGTTTAGAAGCGTTTTGCTTGATTTGTCAGAAGATTGACTGCTCACTGTTATGATGAAAATTCAGTAGTTCACTGAACTAGTTTGAGAAGGAAATGCGCGCTTCTGTATTTTAGGTCAATGGTCTAAGCGTCAGATCTAAACGTCAGACCATCCATTTTAGGCCAAAACTTCCGCTTCCGAAAGCTGTGTAACGCGCCTAAATTGGGGAACGTATCTACTTATCAAGAGATGTACGGTTTATGACAAAATCTGTGCGTCTGATGTCGATTTGATAGACCCGGTGTTGAATGGTATACCTATGTTGAGTTCGTTGACAAGAGTATCAGGGATCGAAACTCGCATGCTCATACACACAGAATCAAGTATACACTATGCTCGCCCATATCATCCTCATTAACGATTAATGTTAAGGATTCCCTGCAGATGAGAAAGGGTGCTGGAGATACCATGTGTCGTCTAATGAGGCGCGGACTGGAGTGGGACAGGCATTATTAATCCCACTCACTCACGCTTCGGCTTACTCTAAAACCCTGACCGAGAGGAAAAGCCCACCTGTTACAATCAAGTGTAGAAAGCGTATACAAGGAACAGAAGAAGTCGACTTAGTAAACCCTTCCCCTGCAGATCCAGTTCATCATAACAGAATCTTCTAATACGAACCCTAAATTAGATACGAGAAAAGATTTAAAGGCTCTAATTCGCTCAAATAAGGAAAACCATACATGATCACTAATGAGGTATGAGAATTCTCTGTAGATATGGTTAGTTTATCCGGTGATGGTGGCTTCCTAAAGCCACCCCTCACAACAGTTCGTATTACCGTCAGCCTTGTGGCCACTGTCACCCAAACGATTTTAGACAAACCCGATGATCATGGCACCGTACAAGTAAGCAAATACGGTGCAAACCAATGTGGCTGGACTTACATCATGCATTCGCAAGGGCGTCACATGAATAGGCATGTGGATGAGTAGAGCGGTTTAATCTGGACGCTTGTCATCCAGAGATTTGGCCTGCTCATAAACCCAATATTGCTACCACAAAGATTACAGTGACAGCCTATGCAACAACGGATGCGTTGATTGTGGCGTTTCGCTGGTTTCTGAAGCGTGGCGATCACACTTAGCCCCGTGTTTGTTATATTCACTCATTCGATCACGTGATCAACTGGTTATATTCACATTATGTCCTCCACGTCATAGGATCGGAACTAACACTGCCACCGTGGTGACTGAAAAACTACTGGCGGTTTGGCTCATAAGCCATATCGAGGAGTCTCGCCAGGTCAGGTAAATGGGACTGAACAAGATTTCAGAACGTCGACGGTAGGTCTGAAAAATTAGGAAGCGGTGTCACTGACCACTGATTAATCTGGTAGTCAGTAATACAAATCGAAACCATTCAATTCGATATCCTGCCAGTGTATTGCATAACTGACTGGAGAAAGCGCCACATCTGAGGTATTACCAGTGTAAGGACGAAAGCCCTTCACTCCAGAGTTGTTTACTATCGAACACCAACTAAACAGTTACAAACTATTGGACAGGAATGTAAACGTCTCAGATGCAAATTGTTTTTGAAAACTGACCATTCTCAAGCGTCTACCTGAACTTTTGTAGATATTCATTGACTATCACGCAATTGTAAGCGAACGCTTACAAGTCCACAAGTCCCGTAATAAACCCTACCTTCCATTAGACCCGAGGCGGAGTTACGAGAAAACGACATACTACGCGCATGCCTCATCAGTAGTGTCCGCCACTACACCAGTTGCCAAAACCCGAACAGGGGCAGTGGAGAAGATAAGGGTGGGTTCGATCTAAGAACCTTCCTATCAGTAGCCTCCCACCACAAACAATGAGCTCGCTGGAGCCGGACTGAGCCATCTCACAACTTGTGGATACTTTTCTATATTACAAAACAGTCCACGGAGAGAGTTGCTCTCGGTTATCAAGTGCACAGTCCTCCAAAGCACGTGTATAGTGAACATCCAAATACCAAATAGTATGGTTTGAGTAGTTAAGTAAGAAGTTGGAGAGAACCTGCTGTCCCGGAATCCTCGTATAAGAACGTAATGGGTAATGCGTTTTGCTTGTAAATGAGGCTGATGAGATCAGTTTTATGTCGCATTACTCCTGTTACAGAGAAAAATCGACCGACTTATCTGTTTGGTTTGGGACAAGCAGTGAACACCTATTTCGCCAATTAACCACCATCGTCCCGAGCCCAACAGATTATTAATATCTTGGTAACTAAAAACACTACATCGTGGTTCGGCCTCAGTCTGGCTGTCCGGTGCTGATGAGTCTTTACAAAAGCGAAACAGCCATCCAATATTGCGTAGAATAACTACTGAAACAGTACACAAGGACATAGGCCACATTTTTTTTAAAAAAAAACGAGGTCACTGAGTTGCTCAACTGGTTCCCTATCAATGATTGACGTGCTTCCTTATTGCTCAAACGAGCGCGCATTCAGTCGAATGGGTAGTCACGGAGCGCGCACGCAGATTGAGGGAATACCAATTGTTTTCAAAAATCCCATGCACGTTCCTTAATGCGTTAAAAATAAAAACCGCTCAGCTGTAACAACCTTTGGGTGATTAGCTGCCATACCACCAGAAGGAAGCACGAGGGTATCAGGATACCCATGCCTAGACCGGATCAGCCGGGATGCTGAGAATCAGGGACCTTCCAATCAGTAAGTTCGCATATCACCTTTAGCACGTTGAAGTGCACCGGTTTGAAAGCTGGTTAATCAACATTCAGGCATATATGTCAAACTGGTCGCCGCGTATATGCGTCATCATACAAGTAATGTCTACCATGCCATGTACGCGTCAGTGTCTGCACGCACGCTAACATGCATATGCCTACGGTCAGGTCGGTGTTTTCATAATTGGACAGATAAACAGGGGCACAAGAAGTCAAACTATTCGCCAGGAACCACGAGAACGACAAGAGCATACGAAGCCAAAGATTGCGTATGCAGTTACTGCTATGAAAGACGTGGATGGGTTATGAGTAAGAAACAGCATATGGGGATGGTCTAATGCTGAGCTGGGCAATTTGATTGCAAACGTTTCATCGCCAGTCGAGATGACATCATCAGTACGTTGTCAGGGTACGTAAACATGGGTCGGTGGTTGTGCGTTGAGTGGTGCTGTGTGGGTTAAGATACGTGCTGCTAGCCTGGGATGACCTTCGAACACGGCTAACTGTTCGGTCGGGCGGCTCCATCTGTTCCTTCATTACTCTGGGTTCTGATTGATCGATGACCATGTGGCTTTTGAGCTTGGCCTCCCCAGCTCTCGTACTCTGATCGTGCTGGAGCAACCGCTGTCCTTGACCCTTCTGGGTTCCAGCTTGCGACCTTTGTTGATCCGACTCCAAGGTTTTTTTAGTTTTTTGGTTTGCTAATTCGATATTCAGCTCTCCTTGAGTGTTTCGGCTGATATTTTGGTTGTTTGCACACAGCGGTGCGTAAGTTGGATATAGTTCAATGAATCGGGTGATCGAATCCACCGTACCATGCTTCCAGTAATTCCCTTACAAGTCTTGTGTATCCGTCTGTCAATTTTGGCATATTCCAGATTGAATTTGTGACCTTCTCGGTCTTCATGTATGCACTTCAAGGATAGGGAATCATGTCTTTAGACGGTAGCGTTGTGCTCCTTTATTCATGTGCATAATTTCCTCCCAGTTTGTCCCAGGTAGAACTTGCTGCAGTTAGTTTGGTATGTCCCAATGTTCTTCGTGGCTCCGTCTTGGTTGTTCTTCGATCCCGTGACCAGTTTCTTTAAAGTGGCGTTCGGTTTGTGGGCTATGAGGATTCCTTCTTGAGCTAGTAATCTGGCTATAGTGGCAGAAAACTGAATATCGAAAAGCAAACGGTTGCAAAGTAGTTGGAAAAGCTGGTGTAACAAAATGAAGGAAAGCCATCAGCGGAGAGCAAAATGTAGCGGAGACATGAAAAACATACAAGGTGATACTGAGGTTTATGGACGGATGGTAGTCTACTGACAGTTATCATACCAAAAGCTGCCTACCGCAGATGAGCAAGTAACAGCCACATGGACTTACGATCCTCCGTGACAACAGGACGAACGCCATCATTGAGATTCAGTTCCCGGTCTTCGCGATTCTTTTTCACTTCTGGATGCATCTTTTCAAAAATATCGCGGTACCGCAGCTCTCGGTGACGCTGTTTGGTACTATTCAATAACTTTTCCATCTTCTTCGTGAATATCTAATATGAAAAAAGGAGATGAACAAAAATAATAGAATGTTCCTTTAAAACATTGCAAATAAGGAGGTGAGCCCAGCACTGTATGGGCTGGACGGGGAACTTTGATACCCACCAGGAAGTGAAATAGCTAAAAAGATCACCACGACCGTCTCGTTGCATTGAAGAATCAGATAGGTCACATGTGGGCCTAACCTGTCAGAACATAAAGTAGGAAATTATTTGGTGGATTTCGATAATAACACAAGTACACATAACATGGCCGGAGGATTCTCATTAGAGAATTGAATTGATGCCCGCCATAGCATCTAGCATTAGAAGCTAACTAATGGGGTTGATGGTTTTCAGCTGTTAATCCACTGGAAAAGGGATTGACGCATCAACTTGAAATTCAGGCACACAAATGTGACATGAGGCAGCGTCTTGGTTGCTCACGTGGTAGAGCATCTGCGCGACAAGCTGAAGGTCGATTGTCCTATTAGAACACTGAACGTTGATCTTCCCGCTCATAGTAGCAGTACCAGAGTCGCTCCTTTACGCAAGCCTTCTCGGAGCACTACATTATAGTCCAGAATGCAATGAGTCTACCTAATTCGAACCGGCATACACCCGATGATGGAGCCCATGAGCCGTGAGAAAAATCGACCGACTTATCTGTTTGGTTTGGGACAAGCAGTGAACACCTATTTCGCCAATTAACCACCATCGTCCCGAGCCCAACAGATTATTAATATCTTGGTAACTAAAAACACTACATCGTGGTTCGGCCTCAGTCTGGCTGTCCGGTGCTGATGAGTCTTTACAAAAGCGAAACAGCCATCCAATATTGCGTAGAATAACTACTGAAACAGTACACAAGGACATAGGCCACATTTTTTTTAAAAAAAAACGAGGTCACTGAGTTGCTCAACTGGTTCCCTATCAATGATTGACGTGCTTCCTTATTGCTCAAACGAGCGCGCATTCAGTCGAATGGGTAGTCACGGAGCGCGCACGCAGATTGAGGGAATACCAATTGTTTTCAAAAATCCCATGCACGTTCCTTAATGCGTTAAAAATAAAAACCGCTCAGCTGTAACAACCTTTGGGTGATTAGCTGCCATACCACCAGAAGGAAGCACGAGGGTATCAGGATACCCATGCCTAGACCGGATCAGCCGGGATGCTGAGAATCAGGGACCTTCCAATCAGTAAGTTCGCATATCACCTTTAGCACGTTGAAGTGCACCGGTTTGAAAGCTGGTTAATCAACATTCAGGCATATATGTCAAACTGGTCGCCGCGTATATGCGTCATCATACAAGTAATGTCTACCATGCCATGTACGCGTCAGTGTCTGCACGCACGCTAACATGCATATGCCTACGGTCAGGTCGGTGTTTTCATAATTGGACAGATAAACAGGGGCACAAGAAGTCAAACTATTCGCCAGGAACCACGAGAACGACAAGAGCATACGAAGCCAAAGATTGCGTATGCAGTTACTGCTATGAAAGACGTGGATGGGTTATGAGTAAGAAACAGCATATGGGGATGGTCTAATGCTGAGCTGGGCAATTTGATTGCAAACGTTTCATCGCCAGTCGAGATGACATCATCAGTACGTTGTCAGGGTACGTAAACATGGGTCGGTGGTTGTGCGTTGAGTGGTGCTGTGTGGGTTAAGATACGTGCTGCTAGCCTGGGATGACCTTCGAACACGGCTAACTGTTCGGTCGGGCGGCTCCATCTGTTCCTTCATTACTCTGGGTTCTGATTGATCGATGACCATGTGGCTTTTGAGCTTGGCCTCCCCAGCTCTCGTACTCTGATCGTGCTGGAGCAACCGCTGTCCTTGACCCTTCTGGGTTCCAGCTTGCGACCTTTGTTGATCCGACTCCAAGGTTTTTTTAGTTTTTTGGTTTGCTAATTCGATATTCAGCTCTCCTTGAGTGTTTCGGCTGATATTTTGGTTGTTTGCACACAGCGGTGCGTAAGTTGGATATAGTTCAATGAATCGGGTGATCGAATCCACCGTACCATGCTTCCAGTAATTCCCTTACAAGTCTTGTGTATCCGTCTGTCAATTTTGGCATATTCCAGATTGAATTTGTGACCTTCTCGGTCTTCATGTATGCACTTCAAGGATAGGGAATCATGTCTTTAGACGGTAGCGTTGTGCTCCTTTATTCATGTGCATAATTTCCTCCCAGTTTGTCCCAGGTAGAACTTGCTGCAGTTAGTTTGGTATGTCCCAATGTTCTTCGTGGCTCCGTCTTGGTTGTTCTTCGATCCCGTGACCAGTTTCTTTAAAGTGGCGTTCGGTTTGTGGGCTATGAGGATTCCTTCTTGAGCTAGTAATCTGGCTATAGTGGCAGAAAACTGAATATCGAAAAGCAAACGGTTGCAAAGTAGTTGGAAAAGCTGGTGTAACAAAATGAAGGAAAGCCATCAGCGGAGAGCAAAATGTAGCGGAGACATGAAAAACATACAAGGTGATACTGAGGTTTATGGACGGATGGTAGTCTACTGACAGTTATCATACCAAAAGCTGCCTACCGCAGATGAGCAAGTAACAGCCACATGGACTTACGATCCTCCGTGACAACAGGACGAACGCCATCATTGAGATTCAGTTCCCGGTCTTCGCGATTCTTTTTCACTTCTGGATGCATCTTTTCAAAAATATCGCGGTACCGCAGCTCTCGGTGACGCTGTTTGGTACTATTCAATAACTTTTCCATCTTCTTCGTGAATATCTAATATGAAAAAAGGAGATGAACAAAAATAATAGAATGTTCCTTTAAAACATTGCAAATAAGGAGGTGAGCCCAGCACTGTATGGGCTGGACGGGGAACTTTGATACCCACCAGGAAGTGAAATAGCTAAAAAGATCACCACGACCGTCTCGTTGCATTGAAGAATCAGATAGGTCACATGTGGGCCTAACCTGTCAGAACATAAAGTAGGAAATTATTTGGTGGATTTCGATAATAACACAAGTACACATAACATGGCCGGAGGATTCTCATTAGAGAATTGAATTGATGCCCGCCATAGCATCTAGCATTAGAAGCTAACTAATGGGGTTGATGGTTTTCAGCTGTTAATCCACTGGAAAAGGGATTGACGCATCAACTTGAAATTCAGGCACACAAATGTGACATGAGGCAGCGTCTTGGTTGCTCACGTGGTAGAGCATCTGCGCGACAAGCTGAAGGTCGATTGTCCTATTAGAACACTGAACGTTGATCTTCCCGCTCATAGTAGCAGTACCAGAGTCGCTCCTTTACGCAAGCCTTCTCGGAGCACTACATTATAGTCCAGAATGCAATGAGTCTACCTAATTCGAACCGGCATACACCCGATGATGGAGCCCATGTACAATGCAATGCTCTTAGCTGCAAAACCTTTACAAGTGGAGTAAAACTTTTTGCGCCAAAATGTTGGGTTTTGTTGCGTATATGCTCAAACCAAGAACCATTCTGGTCTACGTCCATATTTTCGCAGGTCACCAAATTTGATTGTTCACTGGAGCAATCATACCTCTGGCGGAAAAGTCTGGTGGAATAATTCCCCAGCGTCGCTGATACCCCGGGATGCTTAAATGGGGCTCAGAATTTTGAACTGGTACTCAACACAGTTGCTCGATTACTTTAGTCCATCAAGGACACGTCATAGCCTTCGAAAATTCCATTCCATTGTGCGAATACTGAGCGGCTCCGATGATTCGGGCGTGACGCACCAATTTGGACGTAAAGATTTAGCACCATTCGTTCGCCAAATAGTAAAAGAACAACGACGTTCTGGTCAATAGGTCTGAAGACTAGATGACACCAAATTTCTGAGAACTTTTAGAAGCCACGTACCGGGGGGAACCAGCGAGGTCAGTTCGCCAGCAATGAAACTGACCGACACAAAGGCTAAGTCACACACCACAATAACTACCAAAACGGGACCCACCGAAGAGAAGCCACTACCCTAGAGATCTCGCAAGTAAATCATCCCACATAATAGCCAGTGCATGAAGCCCCGCCAAAAGCGGACTGTCCTAGGGGAGGGAGATCAAACACCCATTTATCTCTTTAGTCCCTGTTGAGGAATTCACCTTCGCCCCCCCCCCCCCCATGAAATTTTGAATAAAGCATTTTTGGCTTGGTAACCCGAAAGGTCGTTGAGCGTCTTGGAGACGGTGAAGAGACTGCAGTAAAAGTACGGTAAAGTCTTATAATTAACTGGATTTGCAACTACTGAATAACCGAGCGTTAGATAAGATGAGTCTGCTGTTTTCGTGCACGCGACACAGTCATGTCACATGACCCACTTCACTCAAGGCATTACTGCAATAAGTGGCAAGTGTGTCAGAGTGTAGGCCAGAGGGTATGTAGGCGATAACCTGAAGACTGGTTACGTATCCCGATGGATTAAAAAAATAATGAAGCTTTCTAAGTGAAGAAACCTTAAAGGTCTCACGTTGAAAGGCAGAAAAACGCTTTGCAAGAGTCCGCGGCTGAAAAACACTGGATGAACAAACACGGTGTAGTTACCTTAGAAAACTTACCACTGAATGATGTGCATACTGTTGCGCCAGATACTTGACACGAGCTTCTTCGGCTTTTTTCCGGCGACGCAAATAGTTGACCAACTTTAAACGGAATCGCTGCCGAAAATCTGTTCGAATCGCACACAAGTACGGTAAATCTGACGGCTGACGATACAAGGGTAGCGCATAGGGGTGGGCTTTCACGTGTGGACCGCACAGACGCGTGAAGATGAGGTGATGTTGTCGGGTTCGTTTACGATTCTCCGCGATGAATGCCTTAAAACAGATGCACGAAAGGTGGTATTCCACAGTTTAGTAAATAGGATACAGTTAACCCATAGACCAAACAAATTAATAAGAACGGCGGGCAATCAGGGTGTATTTTTATATGACAAAAACAAGCGACGCAGGGTTTTGAAAACTAGGACAGTTAGTGAGTCGCTATTCAGGCTGTTGGGCAGACCAACCACGCAGCCCAAGCGTTAATAAGTCCACCTGTTAAGATGTGACAACCCAAGTGGAACGGTGGTAACATATCCACCTGGCCGTGTAGATGTTTAGCCATGGAGGTGCACTGCTAATGGGCCCTGACAAGAGGCCCAAAGATCATTTCTTAAAGGACCACCATTCTTTCTAAAAGATTTTTAGACCTGAAAGAATGGAGATCTGAGGACTATGCTATCCACATGCCCGATGTCGATGAGCAAGTCACCCGGGAGGAGTTCTACTTTCCTGGAATTGGAGTCACTGAATTTCCTTTCCACTGTATAGTCAACTATTAAAATGTCTTCCATTAGAACCTTCAGAACATACCATGCAACCAAGCTTTTCCCATAACTATAAAATTATCCGGTCAATTAACTAGAAACCTAAAGTACTTTTATTGGATTGCAAATCCGGCTGCCACAACTATTTGAAAACCTTCGTGCATGTATAGTTGTTCGGCTGTCATTGTGATCCAGCTGGCCGGTCAAGTTTGACAGCACTGTGCAATGACACACAAACTCATATGCACAAACATGCAATTTGCGAACAATCAATGGTGTTCCGAAAGTGACCATAATATGAACATGAGCTTTGATAACATTACGGGGCATCGTCGTACAGCTTCCGGCTATTCACCGCGAGAACTGCCACCATGACATTCATTATCCGGTCAATTAACTAGAAACCTAAAGTACTTTTATTGGATTGCAAATCCGGCTGCCACAACTATTTGAAAACCTTCGTGCATGTATAGTTGTTCGGCTGTCATTGTGATCCAGCTGGCCGGTCAAGTTTGACAGCACTGTGCAATGACACACAAACTCATATGCACAAACATGCAATTTGCGAACAATCAATGGTGTTCCGAAAGTGACCATAATATGAACATGAGCTTTGATAACATTACGGGGCATCGTCGTACAGCTTCCGGCTATTCACCGCGAGAACTGCCACCATGACATTCATTGGGGGGGGTGTGTGTGTGTGTGTGTGTGTGTGCAGGGAGAGGACATCAGAATACGGAAAGACAGTCCATACTTAAGGACACACTCAATCCAAATGGATTGCGCTACGAACCGCACAAGGCTAGGATTTGAAAGCAGCGAGTGTCCAGGCTTCAGCTAAAAAGAATGCACTAATCCAACTTATATGTGGGTGCTGATCACCCGCACTCTGTTAAGCATTTTATGGCAGTCAGTCCCGTAACTCCGAAGTAGGAAAACAAACCATGCTAAAATGTGCGAGAATCAACTACTAGTGACTGTTGCAATCGACAGCACTGTCAGTGTATGTGAAATAGTCTAAGGATCTAACTGAAATGATCCTTTTCACACCGATAACCCCGAAAAAATCGAACATCATCATAAATCAAGGGAAACTGCGGAAAATGTCCTGAAAAACTACTTTACACAAAAATCCCGTATGAAACGTGCTTCCCATTTACCATTAGCTTCATCTGTATTAGCAGCCCAGAAGAATTTCAACTGAGTGTTGAACCATATGTACAGGGAGAAAAAAAGCTACAATGAAGGAACCGAAGTCATCATGGACAGTAAAACTGCCCTTCCGAGCGATTTCGTGCAAAAAGGGTTACTTTAGTTAACAATACAGGATGTCGACCGATAACAAAGATCGAGCTGAACAGCGGCCAAGAATATCAGCACATATCCTTCCTTTGACAAGTCAGAGTGAGCCTCAAAGCTTCAAACATAACGACATTCAAACAGCTGTCAGGTATTTTGTTGAGTACTCCTTGTTCTTCGGCCTTTCGCCTTTCCTTGGTCAAACGTCGCTGCAGCCGAAGAGCAATGCCTATAGAGTAGCAATCCAATCGGATCTTGTACTCACATCACTCTAGTTTGAACAGCCGTGCCTCCTTAGTGAAATGATCGACCCGGTTAGTCCAAATCATAGCGTGGAAGCATTGGACTCAAGTTCCGCCCCTGTTGATAACCCCTGAAAACGAACATGACCTTCTACTACCGGTTTATATGAAAACCCAAAGTTAAGTTACCTGTCTTATCTACTGAGTTAATAGACATAAAATCGAATAAAACTAATGCAACAAAAAAGATAAATGCTCAACTCGCCTGTATTGGATTCTCATATGCACGCTCCAAGTCGGTCGTCAAATCAACTGTGGGGGCCAGATCTGATTTGGGAGATTGTTGACCCTCTAAGCCAAGGGTCTTTGATTCCACTGACTTGGTGGAGGAACCAGTCGAAGCCAATCGACTGGTCAATCTGGCCTCACGTTCATCTAGTAGGCGCTGATGCGCCCGTTGTTTATTCAGATCGGCCTCAACGTTCATCAACTGACGACTGAGTTCTTCGCGTTCGCGATGAATTTTGGCATCCTGGGCATCGGAAAGACGAGATTCCTCCGGAGCGGGAGAAATAGCTTCCACTTGAGGATGATAAGCCGGTTCCTTGGTTTGCTGTCGTAACACGCCACTCCCCTGAGGTAAGAGGTGATGAGGGGTTGAACCGCTTTGCGGTACATTGTGAGGAGGACTGTGGAAACTGTGTGGGGCAGGATGACCTGCTAAATAGTGGTGAGGATGATTCAAGTGTCCAGACGGCAGACGAGAAGCCATTGGAAGCAGACTGGCTGAGTGACCTGGTTTAGTTGATAAATGGGCAGATGACGGATGGCTGCCGGATTGGTGCGACCCACTGGGCGTAGCATTATGAGCCAGTGTAGTTGCTGTGATATGGGGATACGTGTTTCTAGCATGATTCATTGAATTTAAAAGTGACCCTGTCAGGAGAGGGTTCGAATAAGCTACGGAGGGTGGTAGCAAGTGCTGTTGATCTTGTTGTAATGCAGCCGCCGCAGCTGCGGCTGCAGTGTTACCACTGGTGGTGCTTGGAGTTCGTTGGTGCTGTCCGGTATAATGGGTATTCGGAAAAACGCCGAGATTATTTGGAGAGGGTGCAGTGGCAGCTGAACTCCCGGATATGGCAGCTGTAAACAGCGGTGAAAAAGCAGCAGCAACCGCCGCTGCCTCACTGGCTGAGCCATAAAGAGCAGGGTTAAGGAATCCAGCAGCCGCCGCAGGATTCAGATTGGCCATTGCCTTGGTAGCTGCAACAGTATTCATAAAGGCCTCCATTCCACTAGCAATGGTGGAGGTTGCAACGTGCGTCGTAGCGGGCAGCGAAGAGAGGCCGTGCTGTGAGAGTGAGTGCTGCTGTTGTTGCGGTGACGATGGTAGGTTACTAGCGACTCGCGATCGTTTGCTAGAATGGGAACTGGGAGGAGCTAGTTGGGAACGACGACCCTATAGGAAGCAGAGAACATCATACATAATTATAAGTGAGGCGGGACAATCTAAATCACTTATTTATATTTAAGACAGCTAGATTACCGATGAGGCGGAAAAGACAAAAAGCACAACGAACCTGATACCCAACTGCCACCGGGCCCGGTGAAGAGGATGCAGTTGCACCTGACTGGCTATGATGTGCAGGTTGGGTACGACATCCAGACAAAGAGTTCTGACCACCAATAGTTGTGGCAGCATTCTGATCCAGGTGGCTGTGGTGCGGCGGATTATGGTGTCCGGAGTGATGTAAGTGTGAGAAACTGGGCTGACCAGTTAGGGAGTTACGCTGCAGTTGGGCAGGCTGTGAAGCTGACGGTGGACGGCCTACAGTAAAACACAAAAGATGGCAAGGGAACATGAAAAGAGACAGAAGAGTGGTAGTGAAGGGTAACACACGGAAAGAAAAAGCATTCCAGCCAATATTGGATAAGCATTGGAAACGCAGTAGAGCCAGTCGCTTCAACTGTCCATTTGGAAAAGATGTTGAAAATTCTAAAATTAATTGCCTTTAGCATTCAGTTGCGCATAAATGGATGCAATTTTCATACGAGTAAGATATAACCGACTCAGGTAAACGAGATTGGGAAAGCGAAATTGAGGGACTGAATGAAGTGTAGAATCTTCCTTCTACTTCTTACGACGATGTACGTTCAAGGATGAACATCTATCGGAAAGATGAACCAAAATGCTGATACACTCAAGATCTGAAACGAACTGGAGCGAGTTGTACCCATTCTGATCCATTCAGATCGAGGGCCGAAATACGTTAAGCACCCATTCAATAATGGTCAATTATTACATCCATAAATTCACGGAAATAGAAATATTGTTGGATGCCTGCAATTCTACGTCATGGACCTAATTCACAAAGAATAGAGTAGAAGTCATCAAAGAGTGCTAGACAAGTTGGCGCTGCAGAAGATAAAAAGTGTGGAGTTCCAGAAACTGACCTCCGATTGTGTTCAGACCGGATTGAGGACCGTGACCAGACTGGAACGGAGCTTGGCCGCTCGATGGGCGCTTCTGATGGTGGCTATGTGAGGTAGACAACGGGTTTGCTTGGACTATATGTGAAGGAAGAGAACGGCTAGAATGAGAACTCCCACCAACGTTTCCGGCTCCAGAACCAGTGGAACTCAAAGACGCTGTTGAAGAGGGTGGAGGTTTGATGCCGGATGCAGATACCAACGTCTGCGCAAACGGGATACTAGGGGCGTGCGGATTCCCTGCAGTACCAGAAGAGCGTTGCAGCTGCTGTTGTTGCTGCTGACAAGCAGCGACGAGAGCGTTTAACTGTGCCGCAGTAAACTGGCCACTCAAATGAGCTGTGGCCAACAGTTCGTTTGAGAGCGCACCTGAGGTGAAAAACAACAGTTAGTTGTTAGGAATGGCTATTTAGGAACACTCCCCAGATGGTTACAAAAGTCAAGTGGTGGTCTGAGGGGTAGTGCGCCAATGCAACGGAATTGATTGAATAACCCAAACTGGCCGAAGTAAATCAACCCTTCTCGAAAACCCGAAACACTGCCGTCATATCACAAGGAGAAATGTAATCATCACTATGACTGACACCAATGTACCAGTAGCAAATAATTAGAAACAAGGTTATAGGATCTTCACGCCTTCCTGACTAGGTGCCACGTGATCGCGCTTGCAAGTGGTTGGAAACGTGCTTCGATACGATGCATAGATGTTTGTTTTAGCGCTGTTCAAAGGTGTAGGTGGTTCACCCTTGATCGTTTTCCTTAAAGAGATAGGGCTTCTTCTCACTGCTCTCTCAACCCAGGCCTTCCCTCATGATTGCGTGGCAGTTAAGCACCAATACTTATCACTGGCTTATTACAGCCAGTGATGGCTACAATGATGATGAAGATCCAAACAGACTCCTACACCCCTCTGGAGACACCGACAGTCAAACACTGACAGCCTTCATAAATCTGTACACAAAATCCCCGTCTTCGAGCCTCAAAATTGCATGGGTCGGATATAACAGTAGGTCTCAACGGACGCGTGTATCAGACCAGTGAGAGCTGCATCGTTGTACGGCTGCCGGACTTGATAACTTCGAATGGAGGATCTGGGATATTTTCACCTTTTCGGACAATGGCTAGAATTGGTTGCAATTAGCGTTCTCAACGTGAGGATCAGGAAACGGGTCTCTGCTGAAGCAAAAGGTACTTCACTCAAGGACTGCATCGAGCACTGTATCTTGATCATGTTCCGCGCATACCAAGTTGCCATCTATCTGAAAGTGCGTTATTCTTCATGCCTGATTCGGGGTAGCGTAAAACTAGAAGGAAATGAAAGATCCTACAAAAAGTTCGGATGCTGTTGTTCATATTCACCTTCCAAGTTGAGGCCGAGGCGACCTTCTGCGCGAGTGCTTAGTGAGCATGAGAAATAGGGCGTCTACCCGACGCCAGTAGCATTTGATGCTCTCGGTTTTTACCCATGCTGTATGACTGAATGTTGAGGATGTAGACACTCTGGATGTTTGTGATAGGCTACACCTAGGTCCCCTTCAATGTCCTTCTTCCCATGTTTGCGTTGTAGGGCTATGTTCAGAGAGATCAACACATATGTATGATAATAAAGCACTGGTGTTCTTCTCTGGTGCTTCTGTGAGTGATGATGATGGTGAGGCAAAGTAACGCAGATCAGCCTCCAGTACCACTGCTCATACTACTGAAAGGAGCAAAACCCTACTCTTCGAAGTCGCTAATTGGGAAACCCCACCTAAGCAGTTACAAGCTATTGAACAGGGAAGTATACGTCTCAAATGCACCTAGTTTTTAAAAACTGGATAATCTCACGCGTAAACGAACACTGCAAATCAATTCCGCAAGTTCCTTAATAAGCTTCATCTTTCATCAGATGCGGTACGGGGCTGCGACACGACCACTGACTACTCACATGCCTCATCAGTAGTATACGCCGTGACACTACGAGGGCTCGTTACGTCTCATCTGACAGCTCTCCTCAGGTGTTTCTGTCATGGCTATATCTGGAGGTCCAGTCATCTACAACCCGATGGATTACCAACAAACCTGAGTTATCCAGGGGGTTCCCCTGTTGTGAAGGGAACCATGGGAAGTCAGGGAGTCAAATTTTTCGGCGTTGGAATCTTTTACTCATGCAAAAGTATGTTTTGATTAACTTCCCGTCAAGGCAAGGTCTTCGTTATGATAATCGTTTCGTAATAATAGTGCCTCCAGAACTCTGCTTGACCTGCATAAGTGCTAGCACCCCTGGTTAATTATTTGACAAAGTCCAAACTGAGGGTATGAAACATCCTCAACCAACAAAAGTTTCTAAAAGTATGGATGATGGAGCTAGATCTCTCTTATCCAGGTATATTTTATATTTTTTCCCTGTGGTTTAACACTCACAAAGTCGAGTACAGTCGTTCACTTGCGCTTCAAAACGTTTCAGTGGCAAGCTGCACATTGTGCAGATAAGCACATTTGCCAATTAATCTGGTCTTAACAGAAGACCCAGCCGAATCTCGGTCGGATCTCTAGTTTCTGGTATCTTGCAATCGACTACACCGCATAAAGGTCGCACCACGTTCTAGTCTGAACGACATTTAAGCTATCGGAGTACCTTCCGTGATATGGTGAGACTGTCCACGAGCTTTCACAAACCTTGTTATTGGTGTCATATAAAAAAATTCTCTTGAAGAATACCATCAACGAGATTCAAATGTGATGAACATCGGATTAATTTGCGACTGACTATGTATCTGCATGTGTTCTTAGTTTTGGCAACGCCAGTTTTGGACGGTGTAATCATGGCCTTCAAGATTTTCCTAGGCTGTCAGGGGCCAAAGTTAATAACCCAGAAGTGAAGCGCAGTGGGATGGATGGCGACTCGGGGAAAGTCATTTGCAAGGGATACATTAGTGAATTCGAATTCCAGTTTGGCTATTCGGATCAAGTGGTTGCAGTTTGAATACGAAGACAGACTAGAGGAAGCAAGAGGCTCTTATGCGTCCAATGCAGATAAGGACACACATTGTAGTCTTCCATCAGCAAGGAGCCTCCAGTATTTTGTCACTAGTATGTTCCACTGTCAATGCGAAAGGAGTCTGCTGCACGTGAGCATTTCGGTTTAATTCGTGGGTAATAGCGTGCGGTTTCACATTATTCCGTGAGAAGCATTGTGAATTTTCCACTTCACATCAGAGGGAGCTCTTCTTAATTATAAATACCAGTCGTTAGACCACGTTACAGAAATCACTTAAATATCAGCATCCCGTCAGATCGACGTGGACCTACTGTGCGCACGATGCTCATCCACTCGACATAGAGAGATCGGTGCTGGCTGGAACCGGGTTGAACCTCATTTCAGTCCAAAATTACAACATGCTCTATTCTAAACCCTCAAAATATAGGATTGTGTGTGATTCGTTGTATCCGTGTAGTGGTTTAAGCTACCTTAGGAGCTTGCGATTTCACGGTCAACTCATCTCGTGTAAGTCTCTCCGTCAGGGCTACTTTCTTCTTATTTGCGCAAACCGCAGTATCATTGTGGTGTACATAGCTATCATTCCAACCGAGGAAAGTGTAAAACTGTCTGTTTCGACCAGAACTCGTATCTTTCCAGCGAGCTAATTAGCGTCAATACAGAAGGACCAATTACCTAAAGTGTAGTATGGTAACGGTAGATCCAAGATCACACCCAACTACGACCAAACCCCTCTACATCAATCACCCTGTATTGCGCCAGATCTCACTCTAACCAAAAAAAAGCTGCAGATGAAATTAAACCATCTTTCTAGGTCACAGCAAGAAGCGGTTCAAGGGATTCCCGTTAGCTGTTCATGAAGGGGATCTCAACGACGTCTTTTACAGCATGCCTTCCATNCGAAATCTCTATAAGTTCGCCGACCGGCTTTTTACCGAGTAATAAACCTCCAGCTGTAATATGCTTTCAGCGCCTAACTACCATGCCAACCAAAGTAAGCACGAGGGCTGGGATACTGCCGGGTTGTCCAAGCCCAGACAGGGTAAGTCGAGAGGCAGAGGTAGCTTCGAATCACGGACCTTCCGGTCCGTGATTTCGCGCTCTAACCACTGAGCCATCTTGCCCCCTTTTTACCGAGTCCGAGATGCTCTTGTTCTCCCGTTGGCAAATGCGCTTATCCATGTGGAGGACCTTAATGACCATCTTTATTCTTTTTGATTGGGGAATTCCCCCCGCATACATTAGCACGGTCTTACGTTGGACAACCTCTTGTGTCCAACATAGACGTTTTATGGTCATCACAAGGTGACCTAGTTCTGCCTCGAGATTCTATACGGCTTCTTTGATGAGCTGTTCGTGATGCTGATTACACCACAGACTCGCATTTTTGTGTTTCGGCATGCTTCGAGTCCGTAAGTTAAGGATAGGCATCTCACAAGACAGGATCACAGGGAACTTTCAAAGTGAACAAACCGATCATATGTCTGCTCAAATTCCCGTAAAAACGTGTAACTCACCTTCGTGTGTATGTCGCTGATAAACAGCCTATATGCATCGACGATGCACATCCCATCGAAAAGGCTCTCAATGTCCTGTGACCACTACTAAGTCAAAAAGTGCACAAAGATTAATTACTTCTCCGCCAAAGATTACGTGGAACGCGACTTCCGACGTAAAGACTATTAGTACAGTACTGAAAAATGCTTAGACGACTGTTTCTACAGTAACTGTAGGTGAACTTCGGAAGGGCCTTACAACTTGCTGTGTCAGGTATAGGCGCAACTGATCTGCCAGGGGTTCAGAGTAGTTAACGCGACGAATTAATCATGGCTTGTGACGCAAATGAGTATTCTGGTGATGCCATGAGTACGCCTAATCAACCAAACTTGGAAAAACATAGATCCATTTGAGTTTACCGTCACCGTGAGACTGGCATGTTACGTGTCATACGTATGTAAAAGCCCGAAAAAAGCAGTTATGATTTTTGAACATTTCTTGGATGTGATGCTTTCACTGTGATGTCTGAATTACTTATTCGTGAAGCAGAAAATGCATATGATAAACTGTGAATCCCTATATGCAGTATACACTCTGTCCAAACCTAAAGCTGCCACCTTGACGTGGTGGTCGGGCTTGAATGCTGCAATGACCCCGCGGGCTACACTGGCTGGAACTCCGTTTCACAAGGTGCAACCATGTCAGGAAGGCCAAAGGGGAGCAGCAGGACCCCGTACTACGAATAATCGTGCTACGAGGTGGTCTAGGGGTAAAGTCGTACTGTCATCTACGACAGGAATGTGAAGGCAGTAAGGTGTTTCCCCCAGGTGACCAGCATGTCTATATTTATGGAAGCAGCGACGCTGTCTTCCTCCGAGGAAGAACGGGTTAG